TTTTATCGTACAACCACAGGTGAGCTTAAACGTTTCTGTTTGCTGAATTGTTCAAATGGGAATAGGAAATAAAACTTATACGTACGTAATTAAAAAAAAATTATAATGATGAAGCGGCGTCAAAATTGCAACTGGCCCTATAAATTGACCCAAAATTACGCCATTTGAGCTTGATGCGCATTTTGAGAAGGATGGTCCCTGTGGTTACAGTTCAGAGCAAAAAATTGGATCATTAATTGAGTTGCGGGTTCGAGATATGCAACAAGCTGTGAGAATTCAGCGATGTTCAGAATCCACGACAGATCTGATGCCCTAATCTGCAACGCTGACATAGCTATCATTATTATAAAGGATAGAGTTTCCTATCTTCCCCTGCGTCCATCTTTTACCCACCTTCCCATCTCAAAAAAAAAATTAAATGTACGGCATGAATATGTGCTTGGCCGCAACTCTTAATTGGTCGAGTTACCCTTCTGGCAGCGCCACAACAGTAACGTTTGCTGAACTTGCCGAGCTGTTGGAATTTTATTCTCTATCAATAATGATGTCGCGATTTTTTAGAGATAGCTATAGCCCGTTATTGTTTCACAGCCCAGCCAAGGCCTATGCCGGTCGCGGCACGTATGGAAATTTTAGAGGAGGGGATGGCCGGCTCAATTCTTAGTGAAAGTTCAACAATTATTGTCAATGATATCAATTTCGGATAATTTGAATCAGATCTACTAATAGAAAAGCTTGTTCTACTTCTCGGTTCCAATCCAAAATAATTGATAACAAAAATGCGTCAGGATTAATCACTGTATAATCACACACGCCATTACTAATCTTACTTTTCAAAAACATCAATTCATCTCTCAATGATACCATTAGTATGTTTGATCGTTATTATATTAATAATTTTATGATGAATGGGTTGAATTTGCAATTCTTAAAAGTACATTTTTCGAATAAATTGTACGGTTGGTGCGCGTGTGTCATGAGCAATTTATGTAGTTGTAGTCCATTTTAATTTGCGTGTTTGATTTTAGTTCGGTGCTGCATGGCTCTGGCTGGACTTGCCTTTATGATGGGAATACTTCTACGTGTTTTAGATAGGAGTCATGTTCAGAGAATTTATCCTCTGACTACCTACTGTATTCATATTCGAATCGTTTCACGTAGCTTATTAACACCATGTGCAATATTAATATATGAACAATTATTTGTACCACTGTATGTTCGTTTACCGAAACCAATTTTGATAAACTTTCACGAAAAGTGGCGTCTTCAAATCCTTCGTTTACGAATACGACGTGCACTACGGAATCATTTTTTACTGTTAATTTTGCAAAAAATTCTGTTTATTGAAGTTTTTTCCAATGATTTTAATTTTGTTTTGGAGATGCTATCACGATTGATTGTATCCCAATTAGACGTAACACGGACATTTCTAGTTAATCTCGGATTCCAAACCGGCGCAATATATGGGTCCATGTACGCTTGCTTCTCAGCAATTATTACAAATCTTTTCCATATTGGCGCTTTGACACTGCAAAAGCCAGTGTCAATGTTTCTAGCGGCACTTCAACGAATACAAATCTGGTCGTAATCTATATAATTCTGGCCCAATTCAAAATGTGCATCGCTCTATTTTATATTTCAATTGAATAACGGCGGCTCTGATGCTCTGAATGGAACCTAGCCTGTGCATGCTTATTTTGCTTTAGTTGCCAAACAAAAGTAGCTGCTGATTGTTCAAGGCAAGTGAGCCTTTTTATAAACGGTTTCGCAATTTATAATGACAGTCGCACTTATTAAACCCTAATAGAATTTTAGAAAGAGTTCATTTGCATCGCAGAAAACTTTTCCGCGTTGAATTGATAACATTTCCACGGTCAACATAGTACTGATCGACCGAAAATTTCTTTACATCAATGCGCGTTTCCAATACGAAGGTTCTTTAAAACTGATACCATTGGCTGGCTTATGCTAGTTCAAATAAACAAATATTACTGGACGGTGACACGGCCATAAATGAATACAAATTTGGCACTTTACATTAATTAAAAAAAATCAAAGGCAAAAAATTAGGACCATCGGCATGGCGCCTGGTCATGATAAGGTCGGCGCGCTTCATATCGTCAACAGGCAGCGAAGTGTAAAGCTTTTCATGCTGGCCGCGCTTACGGGAATTTTAGAGGTTTTTTAACGATCACTGCCGTGCAAATGAAGCTTGAGCTCTTCACCGTCATCAGCTCCAAGCACATAAAGAATATTTCCATATTCATAACCGCGAACTTGATGGTGGTTAAGAAGGTGTATAGAGGAAAAGTATGAAAATTATTACTACTATTTCCAGAAGGCGCAAAATTCCCTAACTAATAATTTAAATAAATTTCCAATACATCAAGATCGTTTCTTCTGGTGGACTCGTGATCCACAATCTATAAGCATACAATTTTCTTAGAATAGGAAACCATTTTATTGTTTGTAATACTGTTTAATTTAGGGCTTAATACACATAACGGATCGGGAGGTTTTTGTCATTGACAGTTTTAAATTTTTTATTCAGTTTGTATGTTAGAAATTAGTTCGAAACGTGGGAAAAATATCACAGATCGCGACTCTCGTCTGCATAATTGCCATTTTTTAACAAGTACAGTATAGCGTCATATAAAGTGTTATTGAAGTGAGAGCTGCGAGACTTTACGAGCGGTAAAAGTTGTCAAAGTTTGTTTGCGTGCGGCTAGCGGCGACTTTGTCTACGTTATGACTATGCTGGATGCGACTATGGAGGCGGTGACTTGCACTTGCATCAAAACTGTGCTGGCGGCGACTCGTGCCTACTTTATTAATTCAGCGGCGGTGACTTAGCCTCTATGTTAGGCGGGCTGGAAAGACTTATAAATAATCAATATTGTGAGACATATAGGGTAGGACCTCATAGTTTTTATGTATCCGTACGTTGAATGCACTTCCAAATAATTGTAATTTATACTTCTGATATATACTATATATGCCTCAGCTTTCTCTTCAAAGTTGATTTTTTTTCAATATAGCCCTGTTTAAATCAAAAAGCTAATTAATGCGATTGGAATCAATAACTTCCATTTTTCACATTCTCTCGACTGTGTTCAACGAAAATCTACGGGAAACGGGCCCAGTATTTGATTTATTGCACATCATTCCACCTCATGTCCAACTATGCGAATAACAAACACTGTTTCCTGCTCCTTATGGGGGATGTGTTCCCGCCAGCGCGGCCGTCGGCCACAACTACCACGCAGAGCCCAGGGCGCGTCCTGCAGCCGCCAAGAAGAACACTATTCAGAAATACTCATTCAGGTGAGACTTAAATTATGATGAACTCGTGTGCGACATTTTTACTTATTATAAAAAATCATAGATATTTCAAAAGACGTCAATTGAGAGCAAAAATTGAACCAGCATTTATTTCTATTTTCTTATGATAAACAATGGATAAAGATTGATTTATTTTATCAATAACGATGAACAAGATGGAAATTCGTAATTCTTTGTGAAAAAGTCCATTTATTAAGAAAAATGTTTTACTTAAATGTCTGCCGATGGTCCCATACAATTTGTGAGATACACAAATTGTATGGGACCATCGGCAGACTAAAATGATCTCAGGGCCTTTGAATGAAGTGACTCGATAATCATTTAAGGAAGGAATATTGGAGAACAAACGACAGAATTTGTATACGGGAAAATTTCAGCATATGAGTAAAATGTGCAGCTTTATTCGTTACATTTTAAGCTATTTTACCGTATCTTATATGCGTTTTTGTAAGCCTGAAGAACGGATCGAACACTATAGCAGACGGTGCTGGGTCGCGAATTGAATGCCTTGTCCCAAGGGAACAAATTTTTATGCTGTATGAAGTGGAATATTGTCTGCTTTGAGTTTTGTTTTCAGGAATGCGTTCATATTGTTCGTTACTTACAAATTCAGTAACAATGTGTTAACTTCTGACCAAACACTAACCTTTTCGACACAGTTTAATTTATATAATTTGTTACATAATTATGTTATTTTTAACTGAATTATAAAACTATTATATAATTTGCTATAATTTACTTTATTAAAATTTTTGACACTGTTGCCATTGTATAATTTATTATTTATTATCAACGCCTTGCCTTCAGCGAAAATTTATATTTTTTTAATATTCTCAGATGCCAAACTATATATGATTGAAAAGGATGTCAACTATAATGCCGAGATCCAGTAATGTTGTTCAGTGAGGTCAGGATAATCCAATAACTTGTCGGCTGATTCGTCTGAAGTCGGCGAGCTCCAAAAGAATCCTTCTGAGATCTCCGATTAAAGAACGTCCAATGAAGATGCCTTGCCAAGGTCAGGCCAGGCCGAACATTACAAAAGATTGTTCGGCGGGCGACCGCCGGCCACTCAATGGCCAACGATATCCCGGCAAAGATTTTAACGTTATGGCAGAGAACTCCAAATAGACTTTTAAATAAATACTATGTTACAAATATTTCAAGCATAAGTATATTACAGCAAATTAAGTGATTAGCGCATTACGAGAAACCGAATATTTTATTTGCCGAGGTAATTGAGACGATGAGGCGATAGGAAGCAAAGAAATCAGTCTCGGCTTACGGAGCCGGTGAAGCGTTCAAATACGGGAAGAGTTCAAGGAGGTTATTTCAGTGGTGTTGCCGAGCGCAGCACATATAAATTTCCTTCATGCCTGCGTAGCATTTAGTGCTTTTGATAAGAAAATATCTATAATTCATTCATACTTTCTATGCAAGAGTTCGCCGGTGCAGACAATGAAGATTTTATGGGATTAAAATTATGCTTTTTTCCTTTCGTCTGGATCAATTCCTATAGCCCAATTTTTGGAGAAATCAATATATGTATGTATAAGACATATTTATTCATTAATATTCATATTAACGACTAATATTCAAAATAATTATCAATATCATTTATTAATATTGTTCTGTGATGTGGACGTAGAGACGGCGTGCGAGCTGTGACGCCGACGAGCAACATCTCCTTCATGCTGGACAGCCTCCTCCGCGGCTACGACAACAGACTCAGGCCTTCCATGGGAGGTGAGGACCAGTCACCATATACACCCCTTCAGCTGGACAGCCTGCTGAGTGACTATGACAACAGACTCAGGTCCTGCATGGGAGGTGAGGCACCAGTCACCCTAAGAACCCCTTCTGCTGGACAGCCTGCTGAGTGACTACGATAACAGACTCATACCCTCCATGGGAGGTGAGGCACTAATTACCCTATAAACACCTTCTGCTGGACAGCCTGCTGAGTGACTACGACAACAGACTCATACCCTCCATGGGAGGTGAGGCACTAATTACACTATTAACACCTTCTGCTGGACAGCCTGCTGAGTTACTACGACAACAGACTCAGACCCTCCATAAACAGACTCAGGCACCACCTCACCTTATAAACGACAATGAACTCGGAAAACGAACTTTAAAAGAATATTATAGCTGAAATAAAGCCGGAATGTTACAAACTGTGATAATTTCGAAAGACCAACAGTCGTATCCTGCATACTGGCCTTTTTGCAGAGCAATTTATTTTTGGTTGAGTCATTAAAGCGTGATTGTATGTACGTGTCCGTATTTTTAAAACCTGTGGGCTTAAAAATTTCCGGATATTTTTTACAATAAATTCGATGTATAGTTGGCAAAGGTAATGCTAAAGATTGATAAAATTGAAATGTTTTGAACAGGCTCACCGACTGTTGTTGAAATCGATGTGGAAGTTCGGAGCATGGGACAAATCTCCGAAATGGACATGGTGAGTATAATATTTATTTGCTAATTATTATTAATTTAACGTAAAAAGTTGAAATAGTTGAACACTGGTGGAAGTGACTTAAAGCTTTGTGGTATTCAACGTAAGTATTTACATAAAGTGACATCTTAATTGTGAATCTTTCGGTGATAAATCCTTTATTGCATATTTTTAGTCCCGGGCAAGCAGGTGGCAGATATCTCAGCGCATATTTTGCATTCCAGAAAGAGAATGTCCCTCGAAATATTACAACGAGAATAGTAATAATAACAATAACAATAATAACAGTGTCTATCAAGTATTATTATTTATCGTAGTCGTTCATTCGTGATTAAAAATTTCAATTTTACTTATGACGTCAGGAGTTCTCGATGGACTGCTACTTCCGCCAGACGTGGCTGGACCAGCGACTCGCGTTCTCAGACCACGAGCGAGCCTTCACACTCTCCGTGGCTATGCTGGAACGCCTCTGGAAGCCTGACACTTACATACACAATGGACGAAGAAGTCACTTGCACGTCATCACGACACCAAACAAGCTCATCAGACTCTATCCCTCAGGACGAATACTCTACTCGTCGAGGTAAAGCAATCTTGGAAATGGTTTCATATCTTATTCGTCGACGTAAAATATCTTTGAATCAGGCTAAATGTTGATTTGTTTATTTGAAACAGTCGTTAAACAGGCCACATACTTTATACAAGTTAAAATAATCACGAAACAGCTCGCCTAATCTATTTATCGATATGAAGCATCCGTTAAAAAAACTGTTGAATAACTGTTCACAAACAATTGATCTTCCCGATCTCACTTCGCAATCCCAGTGTTCGCAACGAATTCAATTTTTTGCTAACTCTGACAACAATACATCTTAATATAGTAATATACGTTGAAAATTACTTTTGAAAGACAACACTTCTAAAAAATCCAGTATCTCCAATGTAAAACATGTACAATGAATTTCTAATTTGAATTTCGAATGTCAAAAGAATTAATTTTTTAATTATTTTAATACATAAAAGAAATTAAATTTTCAAAATTATTTATTCTGTCAATTGATTCATGCATTGTCTCCGACTTTACGCAAGTCTGCAAAATTTCAGATAGATTGGAGAGAAAGAAGTGTGTTAAAAATCGATTATAAGATTTGTAGCAGACAAACAGACAGACATACAGACAACAAGTGAAGTTAAAGAGAAGTGTGGTAATAATTAGTCAGTCGTAAAGGATATACAAAACTGATTTACACTAATTATTTCCTTTATTCACTTTCTGAAGCACCCCAAAAGATGACCTTCAAATTTATATTATTGTCCGCAGATTAGCCTATTTTGCCATCTTCTTTATATCGCAAAAAGCTATTCTGATTCGCAAGAAGAACTCCTGGCGGTATACTAGGTACGAAAACGCATCGGACCCGAAATTTTCGAGCTCACAAAAAAATTACAGTGCGACAAAGATATTTATGTTATAATCGTACTTGCAACCCCGAAAATGATAGCTTACCTAAACTCACAGGTGGCATTCTCTTCTTATCGATCTTTACCATTCGCCATATATGCCATGGGACAACGATTCCCTAAACAATCGAGGCTTGCAATGGTCTGTCGGTACATTATTGAAGCGCTTGAAGTGGCGCGGCCGCCCTCCCTTCCTTCAGTGCCGGTCGTTGGCTGTCTTCCAGGACACCGAGGTCCTCTGGACACCAGCCCACGCAGGGCGGGCGGTGGCCGCCGGACCTTGTCAGGGACTGCATTGAGCAATTGCTGGACTGGCGAACTGGCGGAACTTGTAATAGATAGACTGCCCGCTGGGTGCATGATAAAGACGGTGATAGAGGAGCTATAAGAATGGATGAGAAGGAGCTATAAGAATGGATGAGAAGGATGCGATGACTGGCAAAATGTTGAATGACGGTCGAAGGAAGAGACAATTGAGTGAGTATATATGATACGGAGACTGGGAGGATATGAACGAATTCTGTCAATAATATAATAGTATCCCGTCCATTTTAAGCACGCAACCAATCGTATAAGTACTTCTTGAAATTTAGCGTAATGATATTGAATTCTGATTGTTCATCATTGCGACGGTCATAGACTCACAATTCATTGCATATTCACAAAATTTCGTTGTTCTAGTTTTCTAAACAAAAACTCGTACTCTGCATTGCCATACACAGTTTTCACGGTCTAACACATCTGATTCGAGTGTAAGAAATTTGCCCGGAAAGATCAAAATGCTCGAAAGCTTCCTAGATTCTAAATCGGCTGTGCTTGCTTCTTGCTCAGACAGTCGAGGTCTCTTCATTCTATTACCTATCTGTTTTCAAGATGAAGCAACATTATGTGTATTTTTTTTCAGAGTATTCAACTTGAAAAATCGAATTAGAAATTTATATGAAACCTACTTAAGCACTTCACGTTTTTCAAGAAAATTATTTGATAAATTCACTCTTTATGCATTAATGCAGAGGAGTAACAATTTAATCAAATGCAAACTTGATACTCAATCTTGTTTAGGGTTATGTTGAGCTAATATACGTTTAAATTAATATGCGTTTAAACTGTAATAAATGCAAGTCAAGAGATTGCAAGATTAAAAAAGTAACAGATGTCACCTCAACAATGGCATGGTCCTTTAATGGTTGTGACAAACTCGGTAACCTTAACCGCTGGAATAGTTCGCATTACACTGGTCGTACTCTTGCACTGGCCGTACCGGCTGTGTACTCGCCGAATTAGCAGAAATTTGATATATGAGCATAAATGGTATGCAGACTTGTACATAGAGGGCAAGTTTATGTTTCCATGCTCGGTATTACTGGTCTATGTTCAAGCCGTACTTATCTCACCTCTAGCCGAACATTTTTTAAGTACCCAAATAAGCACGTATCCTGGTATATCCTTGTCTTACCGTTCGGAAGACGCAGCTTTATTTTAAGAGCTCTCCTCGGCTTCAAGTGATCTTATTTCAGAGGTCAGAACACTCACGGAACTAGGCGAGATTCCTCCTTATTCCTTTCAGTCGTGGATGTTAGAAAGTCTCAAGTCGCAGTTTAGCTCATTTTCGTCACAATGATGTACGTAATGGGGCTATTTTTCCAGTTAGTATCGTTTTCTTTCGTCCGCGCTCCAGTTCCGTCTCCCTGAATCTTTTTTGAAGTGATTTACATCCGAGTGTCTACGACTTTTTCTTTTGGGAGTTATATTTGCTTTGTTGACCTTTTTATTCTTTTTTGTTTCATATGAAAGGCCAGCTTTAATTACAACCTGTGAACATTTTTAAGCTGAGTTTCGATGAAAATATGTAGTGTGCGACAAAAGAAAGCAATTATTGAATAAATCGTTGAATTAAAAGATCCTTTAGAAAATCAATACTGCATGTGAAGTAGTTGGTTAATTCTTTGTTGTTCTCAGCAGCTTCTGTTTAAATGGTTCTTTTTATTTTTATAGATGATCATAAAATAGTCGAAAGCGGTTGCACACTCATCAGCATCTGTGTTCATATTATAATTTAGTAACATGATATTGTCCTGGGAAAATGTCACTAAACATCCGTTGGTCCTTTCATCAAGCTACAAATAAATTTATTTTAGTAACTTAATGCTAAATTAAAAAGTTACTTTATTTATTTATTATTCCATTAACTTCTGAATTATTCTATCATCCTCATTATCAAGTTCGAGATTTTTTATATAATAAGGTTTTATTTAATGAAGCAGAGTTTCGTTTGATTTTTTCGAGTGGCAACTTTTCAATGCAGTAATGTCGCGCTACAACAACAAAAACTTATTCAATCGTGGATTTAGAGCATCGATGACGAATGCGCAGTAGGCTCCCGACAAGTAAAACGTTGACATGTAGCCTCTATACGCTCCTGAGACCGACGATCGAGCTGGTGGTGGGGGTGGCCATCTCTCGGTAGTCATTCACTCCTGCAGGTTTCTGCTGCAAATCTAAGGCTGTCAATCCTCAGGCTCAATCTGATCATCTAGGCCTATCATTATTGAGTATAACTAAATGAATTATGATGACTTGATCATAATTCATTTAGTAGCTTGATTATAATTCATGACTTAGGAGCAGAAATTTTCACGATTAAATTCCAAGGACTCAGTACGTAAAATGCGGTCAACGAAATACTTTTCAAATGTTTCCGGAAAATATGTTCAACCAATTATGGATTGATGGTTCGCTTATAATTCTATTTATTGGAAGTTTACGAGTCACCTATTCGTTTGGTAACGAATATAATCTGGACGAAGATTTGTTTAATGGCGTCTCATCTGTTCTTCCAGGCTTACGATCCATGCTACATGCCCCATGGACTTGAGGGACTTCCCCATGGACACCCAGTTCCCGATCAACTGACCTCCCGATCAACTGACCTCCCGATCAACTGACCTCCCGATCAACTGACCTCTGGATTAACTGACCTTCCGATCAACTGACCTCCCTATCAACTGACCTCCCGATCAACTGACCTCCCGATCAACTGACCTCCCGATCAACTGACCTCCCGATCAACTGACCTCCCGATCAACTGACCTCCCGATCAACTGACCTCCATCATTGAATTAAGTGGAGTTTGCCTGGCCTAGAATGTTCAAGGAACGGTTCTATGGCACTTCAAAGGACGGTTCCTTAGGAGTTTATCACGGCAATATGTGTTCACGATGATCAAAATGTAATGCTTATACGTGTATAATTATTCGGTGGTAAATCACGACGCACCCTTACTCGAATAAAATTTTTGACCCAAAAGACCACCGCCCGTGACGTGAATAAGTGTCGAATTTGTCTCATCTCTTGAGAACTACGAAATTAATTCTCAACTATAAAGTTAAAGCTTCACAGCTAAATCTCAACTAAGTCTCTAACCCAGAATTTTACCTTTCATATTTTAATGTAAGTCGCTAAGTGGTGAAAGTGGCCATCGAGTGGTACCTCGGCCGCATTGTTCATAGCAACCCCACAGCGGCAACATCCCGTATCACTACAGCCACTCTTGGTAGCTCGGTCATTTTCGTTGCTGTAATCTCGTCTCAACCTTTCTAAAGATTTCTTATGGTCGGCGTTGCCGACCGTGGACAACAGCCATACGCTGAAATGATTGAGTTGAGTGCCACTCGTACAATGTTGCTCATGCTCTCATGCAGGCCGGACCGCTGCTGCTATCTGCTCTGACCACACTCCTAACACGACAATAATTGTTGCACTGTGTCCGTTCTTTCGATGGTGTCGTCGCGTCCATTATATCTTAATTGTTGTTTCTTGTTTGTTAACGGTTTGGTTGCCGTAGTGTATATATTGGCAATGCATAAATATCGCAAACGCGGTCTTCGTATGTAGTTCGTTAGTGATTATATACCAGAGTCGTTGTTTATTCAGTACATTAGTAACTTGGAGTTTTTCGGGCCTTTACTACTCGAAACCACCAGCAGACGGCCGCGCCCGTCCCCCGCGCACTCGGAGGTGCAGGTTGTGCTTGGCGGCAAAAGAACATCAGATGAAACTATTATTGCATATTTCAATACATTACAAGCGCTGCCATACCGGACGGGTTAGCCTGTACCCTACATGAATCTCAGTTTGATAAATTACTATAAAATTTTTGCCAGCAAAAATTGAATATTCATTGGCAGTGCGATATTTCCGAAGCATTTGCGAATGTGGTCAAGCTTTTGTTACCTATACTTATGTCTCTCGGGCAACTAAATTTTTAGTAAATTATTAGCGCAGAGACCATGAATAAATAACAAGTGAAGCTTGCAGATGTATTGGTGATCAGATTACAGTTTAATAAAACAAGCGAATTAAGGAGCATGGTCAGAAAATATTTAGCCAGTGACGCCGTACATTACAAGATCGAATGTTTACTAAGGATCCTAGGTAGTCGGTTTCCTTTACCCTAAAATGATACAAGATAGCTATTCCCTAAAATAAAAAAAAATATTGATACAATGTAATTATGAATAAATTGGGAATGAGCGGATTTATTTTGCGAGAAAAACCAATAAGTAAGCCGGTTACAACGAGATATGCTTGAATTTCAACACTTTGTACAACGTCGATCAGCTTTTCATATAGCCATTGTTTGTGCAATTTCAAAGTCATTTCAACGCTGCTTTTTCTTTTCAATGCTCAACGTATTTTCTTTAGAATAGAATTCGCTCGCGTCACAGCTCAGTGACCCTCGGAGTCGGTGTAGGCCACCATCAGAGGCGTTAAGGTCGGGGCCCTGATCATTGACATGAAACCATTCCCTGTTTTTAATTAATAAAATCAATTCTTTTTTTTTTAGAATAGAATAGAATAGAATAGAATAGAATAGAATAGAATAGAATAGAATAGAATAGAATAGAATAGAATAGAATAGAATAGAATAGAATAGAATAGAAGTGTTGGCATTGAAGAAATAGGCCCATGGCCTGTTGCCGATTCTTGTACTATTCGTGACTTGATTCACAAGGGATCCGGCCTTTGGAACCCGATCTTTCCATAGCTGACGATTGATTGAGATAGCTGCTGGACTTATTGCCTGGTCCGTAAGTTGCCAAGCATTTCAAGACTGAACATGTGCTCCTGCATAGCTTCGTCTAGTCTGTTCTTGAAGACAGGCTTGGAAGCTTCAGAATCATCAATCATTGCTCCTACATTCCTGGTTTCTTGCGATTTAAGCAAACAAGTGATTTTAGTATATTAATTTCTGTTGGTATCAAACCTGGCAGTGCGCCTTAAAAGCTATTCTCGTTAGCTTCATTGGATGTTATGAATTAGTTTCCTCAATTTCTAGCTAGAAATAATCTAATTTTATTACCAGGTTATTAATATACAGTTATTTACCAGATGCATACACGACACGTGATGTCATTTACCGCTGGAACGACAACCGCCAGATTGTTATAGCATCCGACATGAGGCTGTCCCAGTTCGACCTAATAGCTGCGCCATCGAGCTTCCAGAACATCACGCGCACCACAGGTCTGCGCCATACGTAACATCAGTTCGAGTTACAACTTTTGACATTGCTCCGCATCTCAAGTCGTAAATTTGAGAGAAAAATTAGTTTTATCTTCAAATTTTACGCAAATGGCCAGGAATTCATCGTACATTCAAATGCCTACAGCGAAAACTTCTGTCTCATATTGTCTGTTACAAAATTATCACTTGGTCAAACTACAATGCTTATAAATTTTAAATCTATCCGATGCCTTCAATACTGATCCAAAATTCTCTAGCTGTCACTCACTCCTTGACTTACTTTTCTTGTACGAGCGACGGTTGGTACGAGCGAAGCCTGCCTTCATTACTAATTTCGATCACGATTACCACGACCTAAACTATTTAGTTATAAACTTTTGTTCTAATACAGAAATAAGTTTGATCATAATTCAATGACATTTTCCCGTTAGGATTCGTACTTTGATTGAGAGGTAGAGAGAGGAATTGTTGCAGGGCAGTTCTCGGTGCTGAAGGCGAGCTTCTACCTGCAGCGCCGCATGGGCAACTTCCTCATCCAGGTGTACGGGCCGTGCATGCTGCTCGTCGTGCTCTCCTGGGTGTCTTTCCTGCTCAACAGAGAGGCCACGGCTGACAGAATCTCGCTCGGTTCGTCCCTTTTCATTATTACTCAAAATAAGGATAAAATTAATTCATTGTTTTATCACTCTCTGTATATTCTTGGTTAATTGACTATATTTGTTAATAAACTAATTACAGGTCAGTAATACCTGTGGCCACCTAAGATTTTCTACTTCCCTCGATCATTTCTAACTAAATTACGATAGATATTGATAGAATAGAATGTTAGAAAAATTGAGATGTTCTTAATATTTTAATTTTCGAAATAATCTCTCAGTGATTGAAAATTTCTTTCTCTCTATTTTCTCATTATAAGAGAATATTTCTGAAAAAAGTCGATAATTTACTCACCACAGGTTAGATCTATGGTATTAAATTGTTTTGATTTTTGGTCGATGTCGGCCAGAGATTGTATGCTTGAGATGATAAGCATCGTCCTCTCCATGTTCTGCAAGTGTGCTTTTGCTGAAATAAAAATTCAGTCTCTGGGTATTATCTGAGTGCGTAACCAATTCTTGAGGTAAAATACGAGTGATTTTAAAGATCTGTCCTGATCCAAGACGGCGCCAAGCTCGATGACGACGAGCGCCGGACGCTCGCAGTTACCAATCAGTAGAAAAATTATCGCCAAATTTCCGGGGAGTGTTCGTCTACGAAAGTGTTCGCTGTGAAGTGTTCGTCCATGTTTATGAAGGTTTCGTGAGGGATTAGGTTTTTTTGCCGGCTGATGTATTTTCAAATTTTCCCGTCTTAAGTGGTCGAATATATATTTTGGAATTGTCTGTATCTTCCACCGAAAGCTTCAGTCCGTATTCTTTCTTTCTCAGTTGGTGTACCAAATATTGTGGGGGGCGTGAATGATTTGAGTGGGGTGGTTAGAGTTTCTAAATAGTTTGATTTGGATTGATACGTCGGGTCCGGGTCGAGAAATATAAGACTGCTTATATTGTTCCTCCATGGTTTCCCGTTTGCTAAGGTCTCGGTCGTGGTTGCCGGAGGGGAGAAGGTTAACAACCCGTGGGGTTGTCGACTTGGAGCATAGTAATGATAATGGCTCACTCAGAGCGGTCGTAGTGCTTTGGTGAGTTACACACATATAACATTTGTATGAGATGTGTAGGTCCAGCCATTGCGATGGTATGATTTTTGTGTCGTAGTACACGTAGATTCAGTCGATGAGTATTCGTTGTGCATTCGTGGTATCTGTGGTTGCAATTTTTATGGCGAGTGTGTAGTATTCTATTTTAAAGATGACTGTAATGTACAAATAATTTTGATGAGTAGAGATTTTGTTTTGAATTTCGGCAGGGCTGTAGCTACCAACATCTTCGTCAAGTGGTCCAACGAAAGTTTCAATTTCTGCATGGTAGTTGCGCCGCATGATTGGCGTCAGAATAATTTTGTTAGGGAGTTTAGTCGCTTTTCTGAAAGTTAATTTGTCTATTGCGGATGCATTGCCTGTCATTGCTTGAAATCGATGGAAGTTTCGGTAAGTCTAATGAGTGGGATGTCGAGTACTCTGGGCATAGTTTGAAAATTTTTTAGTCGGTCGGTTGGTAGTCTCCGGGTCGATTTTTTCATGTTGAATTTTGTAAATTTGGGGTCTCGAGTGTTCAGGGGGCTTAATGACTGGTAAGGTGACATCGATGATGATGATGAGCACGTGCTGATGAGAGTTGGAGCCGTAGTGGTTGGTTGGTGGTAGCTGGGCCCCCTGGACAAGCCCGCCGTGTTTCGGAGTATCTGGAGGGGGCATGGGGATGGAAATGATAAGGAGCGAATGCACAAGTATATGGTAGGAGTGCGTTTTATATACAAAAAAATGGTTGAGTCAGAAGGCAGATAGAAGAATCGTACTTTCCTAGAACATGCCCTTACGGTTGGAAGGCTGCTAATCCAAAAAGAAAGTTCTGGTCGTTCATAAAGAAAGAAATAAACATAAAATAGCCACTGGGAACTCAGCATTTATCCCAACCAAATTTATCATTCATCATGTCATGACCGTCCTGACCAATACTATTTCTTGTGGCCGGTTGCTTGTAACAGGAGTCATGACCGTCCTGACGATGACATTCCTGGGGCTGGAGGCTCGAGCTGACTTGCCCAGAGTGAGCTACTCCACGGCGCTCGACATTTTCGTCTGGATTTCTTTCGGCTTCATCTTTGCCACTATCGTTGAGGTAAGAGCTTATCAATACTAAGTTAATAAACAATCTCAAAAATTACCATAATACCAATATTAATTGCATTAGTAACTATAACGTGGTCATTCAGCCACTGGTCAGGTTGAGGAGCTTCAGCTTATGAGGAAACGGTGACGCCATCAGCTCGAGATTCCGTCTGCCAGTTCTAGGTGGACAGCTCAATAAATTGGTCCGGCTAATGCTTAAGTAATATTAAGATCGATTGAAAATAAATTCTATGTTGTTATAGTCCCCATGCTTAATATTATTATGGTTTTACTATATATATGCATGATATTAATTTACTACTATATACATGATATTAATTTTCACCTACACTTTTGCGTTCGAGTTTTATTATCTTTGTTGATTATTCCATTCGCAGATATTTACTGAATTTTATTTGCGGCGAATGGATTTTATAATCATTGTGGATTTTTTAACTATGAAAGTGACAAAAAAGAAGAAATGACAACCTCCCACGCTAAACCATTGACCCTCTTAGTTATTGCTGAAGTCGACTATTGATGGGGTAAACACGTTCTACTACTCTACAGATACAATCCTAATATAAGCTGATACCTAATTTTGTCGCGCCTAAGACTGTGTATAGCTCTATTTCGTAGACTCAACTTATGTGACGATGATTGTGGCTATTAGTATTTTCTGTAGAAAGTTAAGGCCTGGGGGTCTGAATGTGATTTACTTACTCCTCCGTACCTGTCCGGTCTATCCATGGTTACCTGAATGTTCGCTTGAAATTGAGCAGTTTGCATTCGTACATTACTTCACCAAGTTTGGGTCCGGAGAACAATATTGGCCTGTCAATAGCGACAAATGCGAGAATCACCAGCCCCAGCAACCCCAACAACAGAACCACCGTCAGCAATCTGAACAATGGCAGCCAAGGCAGCAGCCTCTGATGCCGCGCCAGTCTTCTGTGGAAGAAGCGATCGCGTGTAAGCACAACACAGCAGCAGCAAGCCGCTCAACGTCCGACGTGTCCCTCGATGAGCAACTGGTGAGCATCTTTTTCGATTTTTCGCGGGCTGAGGACTTCTCAAGCTTGACACAAGTTGAATCTGCGAGAAGTAAGCGAATGAGCTTCCACAGTGTTTATGCCCCCCTTATGACGTGAGAAATAATGAACCGCAGACTCTTTACCGTTGTTTAACTATATGACTGCATAATTACAGTAGGTGCAAAAAATATCCGACACGAAGGTAAAACTTTATTTAATTAAAGCCTATTCAATAAAATAATATAAACAAATATCAATATTTTAATGTAAATTTACATGGAATATACAAATATTAATGTATATTCCAAATTAATGTATATATACAAATAATAATGTATATGTATATTAATTGCAATTTTGGATAAATCAAGGTTCAACAAGTATCCAATACAGAGTAAAAAATTTATTCAATACTTCATTATGTGACTTTTAGGAGCCAAACTGCTTCTAACCGATTGGAATACTTGTTCGCAAGATTAACACATATGCCAGTAGGAATTGAAGCCCACTCTTCGTTGCATATTTCTTTCAATTGGATAAGATTTTTTGAATCTCTCTCCTGTACCCTCACTTTCAATACCCGCCTCAGATTTTCAATGGGATTGAGGTCCGGTTGATTAGCAAAGTTTCAGCGGTTCTATGCGCGAATTTCCTTCAAGAGAGGGTCCTTCTTGGCGACCGAGAGTGGAATCCTCTCTCAAAAGCACTGTCCTAATTGTATTCTTGCAGACATTTGTCTCACTTGATTGCAAGTCTTTTGGCAGTTCAGAACGAGTCAGTGGAGGATTATTCTGTACTTTTCGAACTAAACTCTATGCTGTGCGGTCATAAATTTTTGTAGGACGCCCTGAACGAGGCAAACCAGTCGAAAGATGGAATGATTTACACATCCGAACAGTACCTATCACCAACTTTCGAAATTGGGATATATAACGCAAATGAAATTTTTCCATATGCCAAACCATCTCTCGAAATTGAGCAATTTGCATTTGCAAATAATTGATTTTCTAATTGATCCAGAAAATTCTGCAGTTTTAGACATCTTTCAAGAACGTAAAATTTAGGTCACTTTCAAATGACGACGTTAGGATATGTATGACTGCAGTTAGAGAGATGTCTATGATGTTCTTTTGCATTCTAGAATATTTCAATGTTTCTTGATTCTAGAATATACCCCCAAACATAATGGACGAGAAAGTATCGGCGAATTATATTCTTTTATGTGATGTGTTGGATACTTTTTAAACCTTAACATCTACAAAATTACAATAATATTATCAAGCCATCATTTATTGATATTGTTGTTTTGATATGACATTTATATTTCCAAAGTAAATTTACATTAGAATAGTGTATGTTTATGGATGTTGTTTTGTTGAAAAGGCTTTAATTTAGTTTTTTCTTTGTGTCGGATAGTTTTCGCACCCACTGTAAGTGTAATCACAAACCATGCATCATACTTATTAGGTTGGATAATATCATTCTTTGGCTCCAGTTCATCAATAAATCTACTTGTACGCATTTGTATCCGAGCAGGTGACGTCCGACCAGGACACCCCCCAGAACACGCCCAACCACCAGTCTTCCCCGGCCTCAGTTCGCTCGTCGCACTCCACCCCTCACTCCAACTGCTCGCCCAGTCGATGCAGCACGCGGGCGGCTGACGTCATAGACATAACAACATACAATGCTAGCGGGTGCAGCAAAGGGTTGCCAGTCGGACTACATTACTGCAAACGGCATCAAAATAATCATGAGCTGCAATACATTCACTACCATCAGCATACCAACACACCGAGTCATCAGGCGCTCAACAACAGGCAACAGCCCAAACTGAAACAAACTACCGTATCAGAGCGTCACATGAGAGGGCGTTGGTATAAGAGACTGCGGCCCAGATGTTGTCCACGCAGACAATTCGTCACGTCTCTCGTGAGTGCTGCATAACGAGTAAAAAAAATTAGTTATTATGTGTCAATTCAAGCACTTCATCACCATTTCTTTCTGAGTTCAGCTACATCAGTCAGATGCATCTGATTCTGAGTATAAATACAATGATAAGACCAGTTCGGTGTTCAATTTGCTCCTTATAATTTTTTTTAATTAGTATGCTACATGTTCTAGTCCCGAATATTATCACTTGTGTTGTTCCAGGTCCCTGCAGTGAACATGAAGAAGAAAGAGGATCAGCGACGCAAGCGCCGGTCATGCATGCGCCAAATGAACTCAGTGTCTCAGATCGATCAAGTTTCAAGGATTGTTTTTCCTATTTGTTTCGTCATTATGAACTTGATATACTGGTACAGCTACATTACACATTCTCAGAGACTGATTTATCATCTGCCACCACCAAGATATGCGTCTGCAACGTCCTAACATTGCATTACTCTTGGCCGTGGCGTGTCAAAGCTCAAAAGTATAGGCCATATAAAATAAGGATTTAATTTTATGTACCTGTTGTACAGCAAATGAACGGTCGGTATTAAATACGCGAAAACATCGTTCGAATTAAATAATAGCATGCCTCGCTGAATGTATCGTGAATTTATTCGTTTTATTTATTTTCTATTACTCATTCTGACTGTTTCCAATCAAAATGGATGGTGCGCAGCCGTCGGCCACAAATTTAACTGTTAAACAAGCTTTGAAGTAAACGCTCCATACAAACATGCTTAGCTAGACTCAGAGCTACTAAGTCGCAGACCACGCCAGAAAGCACCGCAAGCCATACCAGTTTCGCGACGGCTTGAGGCCTAAGGCGCTGTGTGCTTGCAGCCTAGTCTCCAGCCAGTAAAGTCTTCACGGAATCGACACCCAAGCACTCGTATATCTCCATACTTACTCCGCCTCCCCACCTCGCTGCAGTCAATGAACTTCTCCAGTCCCCTAATATTTGCCCCGCTTCTCCACCTTGCTACACCCAATGAGGTTTTGTTAGTTAATGAAAGGTTTGTTTGGGTAGAGAATCGGGTCAAGTTTGGAGGAAGACACATACATGATTGTTGTCTCCGTGAAGAATATACTGGCTGGAGAAGTGGCTGCTGGCTTTCGGCGCCTATGGGCTATGGTTCCAAGCACTTGAGTTCAATGGCCAATCTACTCAATAGCATGCATGGGGGAGAACATGAAAGTGATAACGGTATTGGCAACGCTGGCCTCTAATTAGGTTAGGTTACGCAACGCCCGGCATGAAGTATTCTGTGATACTCGAACCTTACCTCTAGCGCATGTATGTGAGCACATCTATCCGATTAATTTGTCTCTAATTTGTATGTGTGTGTAAGAAGAGGGTTGATGTAAATGCAGTTAATCTATGAAGGGCTCGGTGGTCGATGGGTAGATAAGTATGCAGACTCCAGACCTACACTGACCTTGGGAAGGAGATGGTTCAATGCAATGCTAGCCCAGACCATCCTGGAGCAAAACATTGAAAACGAATGTAGATTTGTACATAGATTTTTGTATTCAAGGACCAGTCTTCATAAAATTTTTACTATTATAATGAATATTTCATCATTCAGATAATATTCAGCCAGCATTCTCATTTTTAAACATAGCGAGCTCCTATAAAGCAGTCATTGCCGTCATATGGAATTTAATTACATTTGTTCGGATTCGATGTTTGCATCAAAGCAGGATGTCTATTTACACAAAATTATTCGTGATTTCATCGAAAAAAAATAAGATCCTTTGACACAATATTAATTGCGAATCTTTCTTTACATTAAAATGACCATATGAGTACTTATTTTGAAAGACCACAATCCGTAGTTTATAATATATCATAGCATCTATAATTTCCCAAATAGGCATGAGGTGATAGATATGTTTTGCTAATGTGTATGAAGATTTTCGGGCTGCGTGATCTGGGATAATATTGGGTTACACTAAACTGAAGGAATAAGTTTTCCACATAACACTTCTGTCAAACATTGAGAGCAGAGTAACAACACAGTAGTCAATATTCCATCTTTGTCATATCATCAGGTGGGCAGTTTCTCTGTGTGCGGGTAAGTGCGGCTTGTGGCTTGCCCTTGAAAGGTCGACTTTACAACTTCTAACTCGAGTGAAACTTTTCCATCAAACAACAAACTTTTCCATCAAACTATAGCTGCATCAAAAATGAAGAAAGGAAATAAATATCAATCAAATGTTTCATGACTTATAGGTTTAATGATGAATGGTAGAAATTGCGACCAATCGCAATGCAGTTGTTTTACTACTTGCAGTTCCTTCTGTTCACACGTGAGTCGCTCAAATCCTGTCTCTGACTCGCCGCTCGCTAATATAAATCGTCTCATGCTCGTCAGAACCACGTTCTATTTGCAGTTTTCAATTACCCAATCGAAATTGCGAAATTAGTCATATCTTCCTAGAACGTTCGGGTTCAATTATATTTCTAAATAAAATGTTTCTATGGGAAGCTGGCTGCTCAATGGAGTGAAATGGTGAATCGCTTCTTCTGTAGATGCTAATGAAAGAGATCCATTAAATAAGTATATAATAGAATAAATATAATATGAGTTTTTTATTAAAGTTTGTATATGGGATGTAAGAGATCCACTATATGAGTTTGTATATGTTTTTTCTGTGTATGTGGTAAGAGATTTATTAAATAAGTAAAAAATAAATATAATATGATGACTTTGTTGTTGCTGCTCCTATCGAAGATACTACTCGAGTCGCAAACATCTGAACATCTGAACCTGCAAATTTATTATGAATGTGAGTATAGGAATCATTTCAATACAGGGAGGAAAAGATTGGACCATAAATGGTCGAATATTCTACATTTCTATCGAAGAATTTACATCAGCCGTAAGAGGCACCTGCTATGCTAGGCGCGGTCCAGCCATGATGAAGGCAGAAGATATTTTAACTGGGACGTGACAACAGCATTTCCGGCTTTCTTTTTTATTTTGAGTATTATATATTGCCTGCTCAGCATGAGAGATTTTTGCATATATGACAGAAAAAAAATACGTATATCACATACCATCTCAACCAATTTCCTGAAATCTGGTATGGAAATGTACCATTTGGCACCCTGCTCGGCTGACATGCCGGGTGATACGTAAGGCCTGAAGTGTGGGCGGCACATTATAGAACTGAACATGTGAATGCACCTGGCAGTGAACGGACCGTGACTGGCTAATACCTGGCAGTATGTTCAGTAGACTCCTGCGTTTGGTATTTTTTTGTATCCGAGACGAGACGAGACAACAGGCTCTGTCCCGGTTCGCAGTAAAAACCGGGACAATTTTCAGCCGTCCGTAGGAATTCCGGGACGATACCGAGACGAGACGAGACATCCCGGTTAAAATAGGTATATTAAAATTTCCCGGAATTTATAGCCATTTTAACGAGACATAACGAGAAATAAGGAGACGAATCAATTATTGATGTGGTGTAAACTTTGGCTTACCGTCATACATTTATATAATAACTTGAGACTTATCCTTTTACTATTCTGACTGGAGCTCGGTAATTGAAATGATTTTTGCTACGAATACATGTTGTGGTTTAATATGGTACTTAATCTTGACAGGCAAATAAAATGGAAAAGCACGTTATTTATTTTCCAAAAATTGTGTTCTATGATGGTCTGGAGGAGGCCATACTAGCTGTAGCCTGTAGCTGGTGACATCGGTTGACTGGACTTTGATTTGCCTCCAGCTCAATCACAGAATCAGATTCATCGATCTTGCCTTGATCATTCTCCTTATTTATTCTCCGGAAAAAATATAATAGTTTAATCTTCAAAAAAGAACTCGAAATATCCATGTGTATTCTTTCTAAATAACGTTAAGGGGGGGGGTATTCCCTCCGGAAAAACTTCCACATTCACTAACGAATCACACTTGTGTGTAAAACCGAAATACAAGCACATTTTGTTGGTATGATTTTTTCGTATGAATTCAAGGAAAACGTGAAATTCATAGAAAACGGAAAAAGGGGGTACTTTAAAAAATCTATCTACTCATACAGTTTTCAAGCTAGAGCATCGAATGAATGCCATTCGATTCGTAAAGACCATACCAATCGAGTAACACAGCCCGATTTTTGATTTTTGTCGGAACTTTTTTGTACGCATTTTCCCATTTTCTTCTCATTTTCTTCTGATTTCCCCCCCTCCTCCCATTTTCAATCCAAACTATGCACAAATCTAAAAAAGGGGCTTCGTTGCTCGATAGGTATGGTCTTTACAAATCGAATGGTATATCTTTCAATGCTGTAGCTTGAAAACTGTAGGAGGAGATAGGTTTGCAGTGATAATAAGTTAACTTTTCAATAGAGCCCGACAAAGTCCCGCGCGCATCGGAATAGTCACTCAATGTAGCAAGGATACAAGACTAAACGTTACTGGAGCTCGATTCCAGTCAAGGATGGTGGGAAGTACCGCACGCACACCACCCCATACGACGCCAGGTGGGTAACTGAAGTGCAGCTCAAGCAGACACTATTTAAGAGCTTGCCAGCTAATTTCCCCCTATCTTAAATGTTAAAGAACTCCACCACCCCTAACCCTTTAGCGATATGTCGTGAACGCATAAATCAATGTACAGTGGTGGTTATGGTACCGTTGGATAGGTCAGAATGTCAGCTTTAAGATGAGACTTCTAACCGGAAAAGGCAAAATCAAAAATTTTAGGCGATACCCCCCCCCCATTAAACAAGCGTTTAATAACAATTCAGGAAACTGCGCAATTGTGATGATTTCCTGGAGGCGTAGCACAAAATTTTATTTAAGTCAGAGATAATCTAAAACTAGCTTTAGTATTATTAGGAATATCTTACCAGGACTCCACTAATTGGCTGACTAATCTAGACCCTGCGTCCCAATGCGCTCCGTGGCGCCTGAACTCGTTCCGAACACGCAATTAACTCGACTCGTACGGTTCCCATAAAGTGCCATGGAAGCCTTAGTTAAGACGTAATGGTAGCAGTTTTTACTCAATACTCAGCCATACATCGACACTTTTGCGGTGTTTGTCGGACCACTAACTAACTGCCATGTCAGTTAGTCAGACAAATTTTGCTAAATCTGTAATTAACTCAATTTAACTGGTAGTCTATGGCCCTATTAGCAATAAATAGCTAACTTGTCATTCTTCAACCCATGTTTTCGAAACAATTCGTATCGTAATCGTAAAACTTGATTTGTCCTTAATAATTAAGACAAATCTCGTCTCGTCTCGTTATGTCTCGTTTCAAATCTGTCTGTCTCGTCCCGGTTCATAAATAACCGGGACACAAGTTTTAAAGTCCGGGACAAAAGTCTTGTCTCGGTTCATACGTTTATTCCGGGACAAATTTTACCCTCTGTCCCGTTATTTTTTTCCCGGAATTTTCTCGTCTCGTTACGTCTGTCCCGGTTCATTTCGAGAAAATTATTTCGAGACGCAGGAGTCTAGTATGTTGTGAACCGAGCTTAAAAATTTCCAGGAACGCTTAGTCGCCGACACTGGATAGTCGTGAAGATGGTTACAAGAGCCTATCGACGACGAACGCAGTCATTTGGTTAGACTGAGCCTGAGTATTGGCGGAAAGATTCAAGGTCTTTGTCGCCTTAGAGCTTGTGCGGCTAACAATTCTCTCACGATTTAAGTTAGTTCATCCCGCCTGCAGTGAAATGCAAGTGCAGTGTACTACATAATTTTCCGTCGTAAAGCCAGCCACTGAAACGGATGTTAGACTTCCGTTTACAAGCGGTGTTGCGACTACAAGTCCAAATAGTCCTCTCCGTGGTCATGGCGCTTCAGCGAAGGCATAATTGCCACGGGGCCTAACTAGTCAGTCAAGTACTGATTTATCTCGCCTCCACGCAGTCAGTGGACGAAAAGCTGGGTTCACACCACACGTACTGCCGGACACGTGCTAGGAATATATCAGTCACGGTCCAGTCCAATATATTCTTTAATGCATTTATATAAAAGCATTCACACTAGTTGGGCATGGCACCGCCATGCCCAACACCCACCGCTTTAACCAGTGCGACCTTGAGCCGCCACTTCACATGTCATCTAAAATTGAGTGACCATCACTATCGCGATGCTGGAAAATTGCACCAGTATCTTCTTGCGGTGCCTCGACTCTACAAGACTGGCGATAACAAATGCTCTTATCATCATCGGCGAGTCCTCCGCTATCAATTTACAAACCCTTGGATTTGTCAAGACTTTGAAATTGTTTACTGAGTAACTTTCAGTTTTGATTTCGAATCGTATCTGTTATGCCCTTTGTTCCCTTAAGCAGGTTTCATGGAAGACCTGAGAATTTGTTATATTGACAAATAACTGATTAGTTTTTTTCGATAAATCGAACAATATTTTTCGTTTGCGTTGGTAAATCGAAAATCAGAGTACCGAAAGACATTTTTATTTCGTTAACGACGTTTCGAATGCATCAATCATTCATTATAAGGTTACGAGACGCATTGAGTAATGTAATTTGGTTCGCCGTAAATACGAAATCATGTAACTAGGATACTACTCAAAAATCTGAATTTGATTAGAAATAATTGCAAAATCACAGAAATATGAAGATTGTCATAAAAAAGCACTAAAAATTACTCCGAAAACAGTCTCCAGGTTCTGACAAATCCAGTAGTTTGCAGGTTGATGGCTGGAGTCCCAGACTTAATGATGAGGGTACCAGCTATCGCGAGTCGGTTGGCGTCGGGGCATCGCATGACGACGCTGGTGCATTCTTCCAGCACCATACGAGTGATGGTCTCGTTGTGGGCCTCCATCAGGTGGCACGTGAGACCAGACTGAAAACTCCATCACCAGACTGAAGGTGGCACGTGAGACGTCGACTTTTAATGTCGTAGTTGTGAGCCCGATGTATTCCATATTAGGGAGAAGTCTACAGTCTTCTCTATTGCAGGAAAATTTATAGACTACATTGATCTCTTGGAAAACTCCCGTTTTATTGCAGGGGCTATTGTTCATTACAAGAATGTCTATTTCCTTTTTAATAATAGATCATTAATTCAATTTATTATTATAGTTACGCTTACAATTCTGTGAACGATGGATTGAAGGATCCATTAATCTGCTTTATACCCATTTACCCATGCTTTATAAGATCCATTCATCTGCTTTTTGGCTTCTGGTATACTTTTGCGACGAACGAATTGTTTTTAGCTTGGACGTATGTATCTAAAGGAAGCAAAGCACGTTTTAAGCCATAGGCTTTAAGCTAATTTTTTTGACACATAAATTTCCATGAGTTTTATTGACGAGTCTTGTTGAACCACAGTTTTTGCAGGTATGCGATGGGAAATTTGGGAAATTTAGCTATCTTCTATACATTTTGACATAAGAAAAATAAAATATAACAATATAAACAAAATTAACTCCAGGTAAACCGTAAAAACTTCACATCAAATTAATAATGAACGACTAATAAGTTTCAGCACTAAGTCAATTCACCAAAATATTTCGCACCTAAGACATGTAAGAACATGCAAGTATGTGAAATTCCGATTACAGTACAATTTTGTCCGAGTTCGTAAGTAATCTTTAAGTCAGAATTCATTTCAGAGGCCATTCGTAGATTCCTCATTTGTTCTTCATCTCGAATGACAGCGAAGATATCATCGATATACTTCAGTGCGATTCTGTCTTGATTTGTTCATCTGAAAGTATTAGATTTTTAATTTCGCACACATATTACTCAGCAAAAGTAAGACCAAAAGGACTGCCCAAGGCTACGCCGTTGGTTTGGCGTTAAATTTTATTGTTGGGAGTCCGGAAAGATGATTCGGAAGTACAGAATCGAAGAAGATCTACGAGAATTACTTGGGTATTGGTTGAGTCGGCAAAGTGGATAAAAAATATGCGTGCTTCGCATTGATTTCTAATGTATCTCCAGTTGGGACGTTGGTGAAGAGGCTGGTGACATCAAGCGACGCGAGAAGGCCAGATGGGCGTGCAGCGCGGATGATAGCGTAACCGGGAGAGTAACTCCCGACTGACCGAACAAAAGGCGAAACGGTGGGTGCAGGCCAGTTGTGTGGCTCTTAGGAAGTGAAATAATCTTGGAAGGGATGAAATCTGACTTAATATTTTTTATTAAAGTGGTTAAATGAAGCGAGAGGGTAAGGTCTGAAAAATTTTATGATTTATGAAAAGAGTTTAACGAATAACAGATGGATGTGGTGGCTGTTACTGAAGCACATCTGCGAGATGGTGGACGGCTTTTAGAAGTGGTAAGTATGAGATGACTGGCAATGTTAGAAGGAAGCAGCAAATTAACGGTGGAGGATTCAGCATCATTGCTCAGATACAAGAGGGTTTGAAATGACGGAAATAAATACTAGTGAAATGAGTGAGGACATATTTGCCGTGAATATTGTGAATGCAACCATTAAAAATCGGAGAAAACAATTAACGATATAAGCATGTCAGATGACAATGGAGGCAAGGTAGTACAGGCTGAACATGAGAACACAGAATGATGTTCATTTATGAAGATTAATGAACATTTATTAGAATGTGGCGAGAGCAGAAAGAAAGCGATGTAATCGAATCGAATGCGAGATGGAATGTCGGGTAGCATGGATGAAGTTGGAAGAACAGCAGTGAATAACAAAAACTATCATTAGTGAATTATGTTGGAACTGAAACCTGAAATCAAGTGCGGCTCCAAAACTTTCAACTGTACGCAATAGGAGAAGTTTATTGACATTTAATTCAGTTCTTACTTGCTCCCTGAAAAACTATAGCCAATGGGTGCGGGCATTTCGTGATGTCCACGAAATGTCCGTGCGATTCTAATTTGGGCGCGTGTCCTGGTGGTACGCCAGATAATGCGTTATAATTTTCAACGCAGGATCGGTTCTCATTAGTCACAGCAAAAAAATTAAGTTTTTAGGATGCATCAAAAAATTCAAGTTGAAGAAAAACCGAGCTCATGTTTACGCTAAAAGGTGTGTTGGAAGAACTGAAAGTGCTAGCTAATTATGCTCTAACATATCAGAGCGCGAAATTTTTACCATTGACATTGTAGAAAAATTTGTAGGACAACATCCAAACATTTGCGACTCATTAGAACCACTCGGACTTCTCTTTTTATTCTTAGTTCCAATGGTGTAGAAAACTTCTAACAAATAAATGAAGTTATTATCAATTCCACTTCAAAAACGCCAAGGCGACTGCCGTCATGTATCAATTTTTCTTTGCGGAGCGAATTTGTTTGGCCGGCGTCGTTTGGTTGAGAGAGTTCTTCCTCTTCCTCTGCAGCTTGGGGGGACCGCTACCCACGAAGCTCATTGTGGGTGAGAACACTCGGGTCTCGATGCTCTGCAATGTCAGGTACAAACTTTGTCCATAGCAGTCATGGTGTAGACCAGGTAATTGGAATGCTGACATAACAACACTATTTTGCGATGAGTAAAAGACTGTCATTGTGAAACCCATATATCATGAAAATTATGGAGAAAATTGTAAATACTCTCATATTCGTAACGGAATGGTGTAAAGTCAGTGTTGCTCAAAATTAGCAATTAAATTGCACCCTCATGTGAATTGCAGGGGTGCGGAGTGAGCATTTCCTTCATAAAAGACGCATCACAAACATACATACATACAAGGAGGCGTTACAGGAAATAATATCATCTCACGGCTGCGAAAAAATACTAGATAGAATACACTACTACCTATAATTCTATGAGCGGTCCTCACAATCGCTAAGTCACATCCTGACAGTTGGCCTTTATCTTAAAAATTTGGTTCACGAATGTAGACAGCTCAAAAACGGGGTCTCCCTGTTGATTTTACTGACATAATTGTTATCTCAACAAGACTACTGCAGGTCTTAAATGTGAACAGTTTGGTGGGGAATCAACTGGTTGGGTGTGAAATAAAATGATTGTGGTGAAAAATCACTGGTTTGGTTGGGAATTCACCTCGCTTGGTTAGAAACTCAGCTGATCGCGGTGAAGACACAACTCTATAGAGAGGATCCCCTGGTTGGGGTGGAGACTCACCTGGCTGTGGGTGTAGTGGTCGATGTGGTGGCGAACAGCGTGCCAAATTTTCCCCTCTTTTAGTAGCTCTCTGACGGCATCAATAGCAGGCGCCATGTAGCGATCCTCGTCCCACGATCTGTGCAAATATGCCATGCAGCTTTATGGGAATTGTTCAGAATCACTGCGGCGCCACCAAGCTCTTATTTGCTACCGTGGAATTGAAGTTATTTTTTGTGCATTGCCATTATGTCAGGTTTCTGGAAAATTTTTGTGTGACGAGCTACGTGAACGCTTGTATTTGCAGGATATGGTAGAACGTTGTCAAAGTAGATGGGACTTTGAGGTTATTGAAGAATGTTATCAGAGTAGATGGGACTTTGAGGTTATGGTAGAACGTTATCAGAGTAGATGGGACTGGGAAGTTATGGTAGTACATTATGTGAGGGTAGATGTGAGTTGAAGGCTATGATTGGAAGTTACGAAGGTAGATGGGACTTGTAAGTTATGCTAGGTCGTTATCAGGGTAGATGGAACTTGGAGGTTATGGTAGAATGTTATGAGTGTAGATGGGATGTGCATATAGTGACTGGCTACTGGAGCATTTAAAATCACTGTCCTGATGATGATTATTAAAAAAAACAGAAAACGTGAACCTTTGTGTCATGTGACTCACGATTAGAATTCTAGGAGCCGAATCCCAGTCTGAAAACAAAGTATAAATAAACATTTTATTTATTCCAGATTTTCTTATTTTCCAGCATTGTAATAATACAATGCCCTATTTGTACTTTTTTTCTTCGGTCTATTAGCTGTAGCTTGTAATGAATGTAACCAGTAATAAGAATAAGGTCCCTGTTACCGCAAATTATGGTGATCCCCATGTTTCCAGGACGCTCACCATGCACAATAGTTTCACGTCCAGAAGTTATTGGCGTGGAAAAATAAACTCAGTTTGCAGATCATCAAGTCTCGAACGAGACAACCGTATGCTTTAGTTTTTGCGGACACATTAAATACAGGTATGTCTGGTTTTTATACAGCGTGAGACGGTGGTGAAATCACGGCGTGCAAGTCGCTCGCATATCAGACATTTGAAACTTCGTGAAGTTGTTCCGATTGAGGCAGCTTATTATTATGTCATGCACTGATGAACAACAGAGAGCTAGTGGCCCACCCTACGACCGCTCGCACGGTCTTGATGACTTCTTCCAGAGGCGCCGACGTCTTCAAAGGCCTCAGGAACTCAATGGCCTGACACGCAGCCAGCAGCTCGATGGCAATCACATACTCGACGTTTTCTACCACCTGCGTAATGAGATGAGTAGCGTTAAACAAAATCGCTACTAACTTCACCCGTGCACTAGTTCAATAGGATTGTTTTCACCGATCAGCGTAGGCGAATATATCAATAACGTCTTAACAATTTGGCCTGAACTTGACTGCGACCAATGTTCGCTAGTATTATCAACAGCTAACAAATTCTGATAGCTATTTGCATATATCAAGAAAGAATTAACTGATGCTGCGGCAGGTTTCTGTTTTCAGTCCAAGAGAATTGTTTCTGTTTCCAGTCCCATTGCGTTACCTGAGTTTAATAGCGCTACCTGATTATAAACTTTGATCATATCATAAGACATAAATCGCAGCTCAGGAAGACATGATCAATTGAGCAGCTTTTATGCAGTTGAATGTTGTAAACTACAACTTGTGTCTTCGTTATCGGGCCTCTCGCCCCTGCAAGCACGCAATAAAGTAGTTTTAGTAACTAGGATAACACTGTAGCTTAATTAGTCAAACTACGTACATATATTATTCTTCAAGCACATCACCTCAACCAAGCTAACTGCTAAAGCTTTGCATGGATTACCGTGAGGGCCTTCCTGGCAGCGAAGCCTCCCATCGAGACGTGATCTTCTGTGCCAGCTGAAGTGGTGAGAGAGTCAACACTCGCGGGATGACACAGCACTTTGTTTTCCGAAACTGTAAAATTCATGGGGATGCTTAATTATAAATATAGGTAGCTTTTAATAGAAGTGGAATATGCAGAGATTCTTTTTATATGCGGTTCTTATGCAGCATAAGAACTCTCAGGATAATGAAAATCTTTCTTCAATTTGGAGTCGCCTATTACACCAACTGTAAATAAAAATTATATGAGTAAAATTGAGATAAGTAGGAGTCTCCATTTCCTACTGATAATTTTTTTCTGGAGACACAAACCTTCAAATATGTCAAAAAATATGAACAAAAAAGTATAGTTTTACCATCAGATGAAGGACGAAAACAAATTCAGTTATGATTTGAATGGATTGTTATTTATAAATTGAGTCTAGTCTTGATTATGTTAATGCATTCCATTATTCATTGAGTATTTGGTTGCTGAAGAAGGCGTACGACAGCCATGGCACTGACCAAGCGAGGCGGCGGTGCAGTGCGCTATCATGAAGCCGGAGTTGAGGCCGCCCTCCTTCACCAGGAAGGCCGGCAGTTCGCTTAAAGCTGCCAAAAAGGTGGATTGTAAGTTTATTTTTCGCAAGATTAGTGATAATCTTCACAATTGCAATAAAAGTGCTATAGAGATTGAAAGGTAAATGAATGGACACAACACTGCAGTTGTTAATAATCAACGTTAAACGGATCTCGCTCAATCGCAGATATTTCTAAAGACTAACTACCAATAAAGATGTTTGAGTAGATTATAACTCATTCATGGTTGAAACCGTTCATTATGTCTTATTAACACGTTGACTCCGAAGTGGTGCATATGCGTACCACGAAATGTATTTCTCCAGGACGTAGTGGTACATAATTCAGGGTTGCCAGATGGCCTGAAAAACGGCAAAGTCCGCGTCCAAGAACATAAAAGGATTAAAAAGTCCTTTAAATGTTTTACTGGTATAATTGTAAACTCCTGTGTGAAAATTCCATTTCCTTTTATAATTTAAATAGTAAGTACCCCTATCATATATTTTAATCGGCCAACGCAATTGAAAAAAAAAACATTCACGTAATTTGTCCGTAATAAAAAAAAATACCTTCTGGTCACCCTGTATCACATTAGTACAAAAAATGAAATGATACGAGTAGTAGAAGATGAAACAATCGGAGTCAACGTGACTCTCTCATCAGTCCAAGTCATTCTTCAGTGCTTACCTCCACAGTCTCCTGAGGTCTATCGCTGCTACGCTCATCGAATACAATGCGCGTCGCTCACCTGGGTTAACAAGCCTCTCGATCCTGCGTTCAGAGATGCTGGCGAGCTCATGGACGGCGATGGCGAGGAAGTCACAGGCTTTGGCAGGATATTCGCCATGAAAGTTACCAGCGCTGATAATCTCGCCGCGTCCAGAAAGAACCAACTGCACGAGGAACAGGAACAGCATTTATCCATATAGTTTCTTCGGTTTCTTGGTAAAGAGCATGATTCGAATTTCATTCATGTTTATAGGAATTTCGCTTTCTCAATTTAGTTAAAGACCTCATGTCGGGACTGAGCTAACTTGCTGATTTGTATAGTAGATGTATAAACTGTGCCAAAATTCAAATTCTGGATCAGTTGTGTAAACAGTCACATGCGAAAATTGATAAAGAAATATCGTTGAAAGCTTTAAATACTAAATATACTGCATAAATACTACAATGCTCTACATTTTATATTAGTTATACGACTTATTGTGAATAGTTGATCAAAGTTCATCAAGTAAAATTCTATTTGAAATCATCTGGTATAATGACCGGGTTATCAGTAGCGGCGTTCATCTCGTCGATCAGAACACTCCTGACGAAGTCGATGGTGTCGTGGACTACGCCGTGCACCTGGGGACAGCAGCGCAGGGTGTAGGCGTCCTGCACGCGGTCGCAGAAGCGGTGGCTTTCTGCCGTAATGCCACCAGCATTAGTTGTTAAGAGATCATCACATGGATGTGATGGTCAATAAATCATTGCACCAGTATTAGTTGTTAAGAGATCATCACGTGGATGTGATGTCAAGAAATCATTCGTATTCAGATTCAAAAAATTATTAATTCAATATATAATCTGTTTCAATGTATTGGCTTCCAATGTTTCAAAGTATTGGCTTCCAATTACTTACATTCGCTCCCCAACTTTAGAAAAACTTTGGTAACTTTAGAAGTAAAGTAAATAACTTAGTAAGCAACGTCTATATATAGCCACGTAGAATGTGAGTGATCAATCCAACAAGAGGGAAGCTGAAAAGAAACAACACTTCCTTGTGCAGCCATCAACATATTAGTGTGACAAGAAAATACAAACCAAGAAATTGGCCTGATTTGGAATGACAATTTTATTTGTCTTTCTATTGTTATGGCGGTATAGACAGCTCCATACGAAAATAACTTGCGGATATTTTTTGGAGCAATTTTGTGAAAATAATTTCAGCGAGAAATTTTGTAGTATGGTCAAATTTGAAAATAATATGTTTCTACAATACGAATTCAACATTTTAATGTTTTATTTCGCAAAGAAACATTAAAAACACTTATCAGCAATTGGCTGCAATTATATCAGAAAGCATTGCGCTAAATATTCTCCAAATACTTTGAACTATTTTACAATAGGCCAATTAACTGCTTCTGAAGCACTACGATTTTCGTGACTGCGCTTTATAGTATCCATTGTAGTTTAATTGCCTCCCCAACGCTAATTGGAAAATCATCATAGGGCATGAAAGTCACCTGCAATCTCTGATGGGTAGGTGTCAGAGTGAAGCAGCGCTCGCAGCCTCTCTGCGACCAACTTCTGGCCTTTATGATGCCTTAAAGCCATCACTTCTGCAACACAGGCAACACCCGACGGGTATTAGAACATAATGAGGTGAGGGATATTTAATATTCTGCAACACAGATAGCGCCCAACGGGTATTAAAACATAGTGGGGTACGAACATCTTACTAGTACCCATCTCCAGAGCTGGGCAGCGCTACTTGGAAATGTAGCGGCGCTACCGCTACCGCTACATGCTCTAAATGTAGCGGGCGCTACCGCTACCGCTACATTGCCTTAAATGTAGAGCCGCTACCGCTACCGCTACATTGCCTTAAATGTAGAGCCGCTACCGCTACCGCTACATTGCCTTAAATGTAGAGCCGCTACCGCTACCGCTACTGAAAATGTAGCGGCCGCTAGTAGCGGCCGCTACATGTAGCGCGCTACTGCCCGCCTCTGCCCATCTCTGTAACATCGACAAAACCTTAGAAACATCATTTCTGCTACATGGAAAACACCTCAATTGTGACCCTACTTGTGGCCCCATCGGCTAGCTTTAACGTGTGTAATGCACCATTTACACCCATTGACATGAATAAATTTTGGCAATAATAACCACTGAACCTATATTGTGACGAAAAAACGTTGATCAAATAATCTCTCCGCTGTCGTGTTGCAAAATTGCAGCAATGCTATAATTTTTATATTCGTTATAAGGAGTCTGAAATCCACCACTGCAAGTGGCAGGAGTACCTTAGTGCCACCTAACTGGGAAAAGCGTGATTTAAAAGTACTCCATTTTTGATTATGAAAAAATCAATCCATGTCACCAAAGACTGACCACTATCGAAGGCTCGGCTGGTGCCTTTCATAACCTCGAGGGTGAGGGCGGCCACAACGTCGCACTGCCGCACGATGTTCTCCGCCTTACTGAGCGCCAGCGTGCCGATGGCGGTGATGAACTGAGTGCCGTTGATGAGCGCCAGGCCTTCCTTGGCCCCAAGCACGATGGGCTTCAGATTGTGGGACTCCATCACCTGATGAAGATAATCCACGTATCCACATGTGCTGTGAGCGACAATTAAGTTTGCTTGTTCTGAACAAAAGGAGGCGAAGTGGTCTATTGATAAAATAATGGACTTATTTCGTTTGAGCTGCAGCGAGGATAACGTTGTAATGATTTGCCATTTGGAGGTCTATATTTATGTATCTATTGCAACGAAGCAACGAATCACAATTTTATTTTATAAATAATGCTGATAAACTGTTATTCCACTTAGATGGCAATGGGAAGTAATGGATCAAATTCCATCCAGTAGAAAAGATCATTTTAGCTCATAGCATCCCACAATAGGTTATTGTTCTTACATATTTGGCATCGCCCCAGCCAGTGCTGGGGCTCCACATGCGCCCCTCCCCCAACATCCCCAGCGCCAGGTGGCTGAGCGGGGCGAGGTCTCCTGAGGCTCCCACGGTGCCCTTCTCCGGCACCCACGGCAGACACGAAGCTGAAGATGCCCCACAAACGTCATGTCAATATGCTAATCCAGCCCCACAAACGTCATGTCAATATGCTAATCCAGCCCCACAAACGTCATGTCAATATGCTAATCCAGCCCCACAAACGCCATGTCAGTATGCTAATCCAGCCCCACAAACGCCATGTCAATATGCTAATCCAGCCCCACAGACGTCACGTCAATATGTATATCCAGACGTCGTACACATTAACCATAAATTTTATCAATTCTATACCTATTGATAGAATATAAAATAACTATATTCTAGTAATTCTACATATTCTAGTAATTCTACATATTCTA